GTCCTCCAAAGCAGTTGCAATCCCTCCCAGTTTGGTATCATCTGCAAACTTAATAAGCGGACTTTCTATGCCAATATCTAAGTCGTTAATGAAGATATTGAACAGAGCCGGTCCCAAAACAGACCCCTGCGGAACCCCACTCGTTACGCCTTTCTGGCAGGATTGGGAACCATTAATAAGAACTCTCTGAGTATGGTTATGCACCCACCTTATAGTAGCATGTCATGTAGCGTCAGTCTGTGGATTGCCCAGGGCTTGGGTCCCTGGGGCTCACCCTCTCCCTTGCACCGCGACCCTGACTCACAGCAGCCGTCCTGCCCAGTGGGACTATGTGCCGCTCTATCCGTGTCCTTAGGGCACCAAGACCCTTCCTCACAGGGGCACCTTTGCCGTGCTGCCAGGTTGGAAGGTATCTTAGCTGGCTGCCCCCACTTTGTTCTCCACACACCTGCTCTGAGCGGGGTTGCGGTGTGCCACTCCTCTCCGGCGAGCTGAGTGGAGACCAGCGGGGTGCCTGCAGATCTACCCGCGAGTCTCTCCTCAAAGCTTCTCGCATGCGGTGAACTGTTGTCTCCCCCCCCACCCACCCCAAGACCCATGTCCCTCCGTCTGGATCAGCAGCCCACACTTGGACTTGTACCCTCTGCCTCCCGCTCTGGGTCGCCCTGGGCCTCCCCTTCCCTGCTTGCTCACTGCTGAGTGCCCCTCTCAGTCCCCAGCCCCGACTTCAGCTTCCACGCGGATGAACACCTGGAGGTTTACGTCTCGGCCTCGGAGAACCCCAGCCACTTCTGGATCCAGATCGTCGGCTCCCGCAGCCTGCAGCTCGACAAGCTGACCGGCGAGATGTCCCAGTACTACGGGAGCAGCAGCCAGTCGGTGAGTGTTTGCCGTGGCGTGACGCGACGGCTGGGTAAACCTGCCGCAGCTGAATGGAATGATGTGTCCCCGCCCCCGGCCCACTAGCCGAAGAGGGGTTAATCGTTCTCTTCCTCCCCTGCTGCTTGATCCGGCATCGCTTCCCGTTCTAGCCCCGAGAAGCTGCGCGTGTGACTCCCTGCCCGTCCTTCTTGTCTCACCAGCCCGAATTCCCCAACGTCCGGGTAGGCGACATCGTGGCTGCCCCGTATGCCGATCACGGCGCCTGGTACCGGGCCAGAGTCCTGGGCACCCTGGAGAACGGCAACTTGGATCTGTATTATGTCGACTTCGGGGATAACGGGGAAGCCCCGCTAGAGGCACTGCGAGCCTTGCGGTACGTGCAGCGGGGAGGGCGGTGAAGAGGGAGAGCGTAGGCTAGGGCTGGGGGCGTGGAGCAGGACTCCTGGGTCCCATTCCTGCTGCTGATTTGCTGTGGGATTCCGGGGAAGCCTCCTGGCTCGCTCTGCACCTCGGTTTCTGTAAAATGGGGAGAGCCCCTATCCCAAGGGGGTTGAATGGCCGAGCTAACGACTGTCCAGGGTGTGGAACTCCTTGCATGTGAAGGACGAGGATGGGTGCAGTGACACCACAGGGATCTCGTGCTAACACGTGCAGATCCCCGCTAACCCAGAGAGATGCGGCTTAGCAGGGCAGACCTGACCGATTTCACCAGCTGCGGGGGCCTCCGGGTGCTGGGGTCGTATCGCTGTTCACAATGGTTCCTCCCCTCCCTTTCTGCTAGGAGCGACTTCCTGAGTCTGCCCTTTCAGGCCATCGAGTGCAGCCTTGCTGGGATCGCCCCTGCGGGTGAGTGGCGAAGCCATGGGCGAGGTGTTCTCGGTTGTGACACATCCCTGCAAGGTAACCAACTGGGCTGCCGGCAGGGTAGCCCAGCTGGGCTCGGGCAGCGCCCAGGGAGAGGCGGCTCTCGATGGTTGCCAAGTGGCTGGTTGATGCTGAAATCTCCCATTTCCAGACCCGCCTGCACTTAACTCCGTGGGGTTCTCTCTCTGTGTCCTGGGGAGTCAGACTGAGTAGCAGAGGCTGGGTTTTTCTCCACAGGGGAGCAGTGGGAAGAGGACGCCCTGGACGAGTTCGATCGCCTCACGTGTTGTGCCGAGTGGAAGCCCCTGCTGGCGAAGATTTCTAGTTACGTCCAGTCTGGGGTCTGTACCTGGCCGCGCATCCAGCTGTACGACACCAGCCACGGACAGGTGAGCGCTGGAGGCCGGGTTGTCTGGCAGGCTGCGGGCTTCCCTTACGAACGCAGCGTTTGCTGACAAGGGGTCTGTAGAGCAGCACGTTTCTGCATCTCCACTCCCCTTGGTGCGGCCGCTGGTAACCAGAGCCTGGTGAGCCCGGAGTGGGCTCGTCTCTGCATATATTGAGATCAGGATTCAGTCAAACTCCCCCCCCCCCCCCGCCCCCCCCCCTCCTCCCAATCTGTATCGTTCCCCAAACCACCAGTGCTGCTTCCTCTCTGGCCCCCCCTCCCCGAGCGGCACCCCCTTAGAGTCTCTTCCCCTTGTGCTGTCGTCAGCCTGCAACTCGCTGCCCCTTCCTGTTTCCCCTTCAGAGCCTCGATATAGGGGAGGAGCTGGTCCGGCTGGGTCATGCTGTGCGGTGTCCGCAAGAGGAGGCCGATGCTGCGGGGGACGGCGCCCCCCAGCTGGGGAAGGAGGCCACGGCCGAGGCGTTCCAGAAGATGCTGGTTAGTCAATCACGAGCCCCGTGGAAGTGCTGGGAAGCCATCAGGAGAGGCTGGAGTTTATCCAGAGGCCAGCGTTAGAACAACTGTTGGCGTAGCACGTTTATTTCTGGCTGAAATTTTGATGTCCTCTCCTCTCCGGTCTGTGGCCTCTCTCCAAACCCCCAGGGCTGTGCCATTTTCCATCAGGCTGGGCTCCAAAGGCTGCAAACCCTTCCCGACGGCTGGGGAATTGTGTAAGGAACTAAACGGTGGGGGCCGGAACCACCATTGGCGAGCAGCTCTAATGAGCCCATTCTCCTCCTGTAGGAAAAGGAGCCTGAGGAAGTGATGTGTGCCGGGCGGAGGGGAGGGGCTCTAGGTGCCCTCTGCTCTCAGGCTGCCCCAACTCACGCGGCTGTGGCATCGCGGGCACGCCTGCAGCTGGCGGTGTAGTTTCCAGCTCCGGCTGACATGCCCGCGCTAGCTTTGATCAAGATAACAACATGGCTGCAGCTGCATGAGACCCGAGTTCATGCCCAGGGTCTCAGGCGGGATTGCAGTCAGGCAGCCAGTCCGAGTTGCTGCCTGTGCCCGCCACAGCTCTGCCACTGTTAGGAGCGCGTTAGCTTGAGCTAAGCTAGTGCGAGTCCATCTCCCTGAGCCGGGAGTTGCACCTCCAGCTGCGCTGTTCACCTACCCCACGTGTCCCCACTCCTTGTTCCAAGGCTAGCTAATTGCTGAGTCTGATTGCCCTGAGCTGGTGGACGGACGCCCCCCGAGAGAGTTGCTGTAAAACCGCGTCCGTGTTTTTCAAATGCAGAGGCCCACGTCTTAATTAAACCCGTCTCGCTCCATGTGGAGCAACATATCGCCCCCTGCTGTTGTGAAAGCTTCAGCGCTAGCTGCGGCTCTATCTGCCGCTGAAGATCTCTGCCTTGGGGCTGGTTTCCTCTTCCCCTCGACGGGCCCTGGTCGGTTCTGCGCTGTGGAGGTGTTTGTCCGCGGGCGCAGTAATCGGATTAACATTGCCTCTTTCTCTTGCTCAGGGGAATGCTGCAGGGACCTCCCTCGAGAGCCTCCTGTCAGAGACCTGCGTCAGTCTTTCAGGTACGCCGCTGTGATCGGCTGAAGCAACCTGCCCTTCTTGGGGGCGGCTGCTCCAACCGAATCCATCTGCCTTAGGGTTGGATCTTGCTGCCCATCACTGTAGTGTCTGGGCATCTTCCACATCACATCAATAGCTAAGCCTCTGGCTCTCCTCCATGTGCCACCTCTCCTGATTGATTCCTCTCCCCCACCCCCCAAGATACCAGAGGGAGCAAAAGAACTGGGAATTAAGGCTTTTTCTCCTTTGTCTGAGACCTGATTCTCCACCTCCATCACATGAATGGGGCAAAAAAATTGAACCACTCTTTACTCTAGGGAAAACCAGAACCGACCGTTTCAGGCCCGGCACTTACATTTTGTTTCAAGGATTTTTCAGGAAATTCAGCATGAATTGGACTATATTCACGTAGTTCCTTTTAAAATACACTTCCGTGGGTGAGGATGGGAGAGGTATTTACTAATTCCTCTGCAGTTCGTAGCCCGAAGAGAACACTGTGCCAGATGCATGCGAATTAGAAACTGGCTGGTCAACTTTACAGGCAGTGTGACCTAGTGGGTAGAGCACTGGATGACGACCTAGGAATCTAGTTTCTATTCCTGGCTCTGCCACTGATCTGCTCTGTGGCCTTGGGCAATTCACTTCTGTGCCTGAGTTTCCCGCCCCTCTCCTGCCTTTGTCTACTCCGATTGTGAGCGACTGTCTCATGTCTGTGCAGCACCTAGCCCGATAGAACCCTGATCTCAGCTGTGGCCTCAAGGTGCTGCTGTAATACGTGTAATAACTGCCCCCAAGCTGCCTGAAAGGCAAAAAGAAAATGGGGTAATGAAAATAGAGATTTTTTTGCAAATCCTTCCAGTGTTTAATAACTGGTGCTAATTCCCGTATTCCAAGCGCTGGATGGAGAGGGCTGTTGAAAGCTCCACTGCTCCTAGCACAAGAGAAGGAACATGCTGTAGGGCTAATCCTGCCGATGGATGGGAACCAAAACCAGGCTTCCCTCTCTGTTGTCTGGGATCTAGTGAGAAGGCTGGGAATGTCGTTTGTCAGACTTGACTCTTTGAAAGCGGCTGTGTGCGTAAGACTGAGCATGACAAGTTATGGAGGGGATGCGATGATGACTGCCTACCCGCGATTCTTATTAGCAAATATCTCCAGTGTGGGACCCTGGGTGGGGAGGGCTCTGAGTTACTACAGAGAACTTGTTCCCAGGTGTCTGGCTGGTGGGTCTTGCCCACACGCTACTGGTCTAACTGATTGCCATATTTGGGGCGTGAAGGAATTTTCCCCCAGGTCAGACTGGAAAATCCCCCAGGGTCGCTGCGTCTTCCTCTGCAGCATGGGGCACGGGTCACTTGCTGGTTTGGATGAACGTTCGGGAAATAGACAGCCTCCGTCCTCACGAGATACAAAGTGTATCCCTCCAACGCTTTGCAGGGGTTAAATAATCCGTTAGGCAAAGGAGAAAACTTACTTCCGGCTGTGGTAGGTAGGAGAGTTGGGGCAGAAAGGTTCAAGAAACCCCCTCTAGGGTTGGACCAGGCGGTGAGGAGGCCAGGAGGAGATAAGTGGGGAAAGGTGAAGAGCAGAAATAGAGGGGAGGCTGTTTCAGACAGCGGTAGCTGCAGAGGAGAAGGTTCTTGCGCCAGCAGTGGCCAGGTGGCACAATGGGACAGAAGAGAGACCGGGGGCGGTGGGGGGGAGCTTGTGTCCATGTGCTGAAGACACAGAGGAGAGAGCGCGGCCCAGCCCCCCATGTAATATGTGCCTTTGGCTTGGTAGATAACTCCATTGAGCAGCTCCGAAGTGACACCGAGCCCACAGAACCACCCTCCCAGAAGACTGTCATGCCCTCACTCTGGTCCCTACGGATCTCGGCTCCCTCCTGCCCTCTGGGGGACTCCGAGGCTCTCGCCTTGCCAGCTGGCGGTGAGAAGCAGAATGGCTCAGGGGGCTGCAGCAGCGAGGGAGCGTCGGAGGTTGGGAGGTCTCTGCGGGCCACCGGGAGCCATGCAGCAGATGCCACGTGGACATCCAGTCCTGCTGATTGCCCGCATCCCGCAGCCTGCTCGGGAGAGGCCTCTCCCATCTCCCTCTCAGGCAAAGGCTCCAGCACCTCAAACGCCAGCTTCCCTACCACCCTGGCCTCTGGGGACAGCAGCTGCTACTCCCCCCGCGGCTACTTCTATTACCTCTCCACTTCAGAAGAGTGGTCCAACTCCTCGGTCTTCTGCAGCGGCTCGGGCTCTGCCGGCGATTCCCTCCAAAGCCCCGTCCTCATCAGCTCCTCTGACAGCGAGGGAGAGGAGGAGGAAGGGGGGCTGAGGGCCCGGAGGAGAGGTACAGAGGGCACCATGGATGGGTAGCCTGGGCACCGCACTGTGGTCTGGGGTGTCAGAAGCACAAGGAGTACATGCAGGAGTGTCCCGTGCGCTCTCCCTGCTTGCAAGGGGGCAGCCGCAACTCATGGCTGCTGCGCCATTTGCCGCCTTGCCATCATTTGGCTACTGGCGATCTCCACCAGCTGGCAACATCTGCTCCTCCCCCGAGGGACAGCCCCTGGCGAGAGCCTCAATCCTTAGCGATGCCTCTTAACTTTCAGTGCGGAGCAGGCCCCGGGCAAGTGCTCAGTGCCGCGTCGGGCGCCCCTGCATCGCTGGGCTAAGGCCTGCTCTCGTTCCTCCTGGTGTCAATCCGGAGCAGCCCCCTGCTGGTGACGGGTTCTCCGGCTTGAGCCGGGTGTAATTGAGATCTGAACCTATCCACTGTGTGTCGCTGCGGCCCGGATCACCCGCTCTGCAGAGCCAGGTGAAGGGGGCGTGAAATGGATGCACAGGGGCTCTTGGTGTCAGCTGCGGCACGACTCTTGTTTCTCAGTGCACGGGGGCGCACAAGTGGGGAGAGCTGGGCCTTCCTTGCACCAGGGAGCAGCTGGACACTGGTTACGGCTCTTCCTGAGTAGAGCAGGTCGTCTCTCTGCGGCCTGTCCCCAAAGAAGGGGGCCCAGACTCCCGGCTGCACGGTGACGTGGCTCTTGGTGGCAGGCCGGCGCCGGGGAGCCCTGATGCTGCACCTGTTCTACCCGCTGCCTCTCCTCTTCTGTGCAGAAGCCGCGTCTATGTCTGGAAGCGGCGACGACGTTCTTCTGGTCGAAGACGATTCGCTGTGACCCCTTCCCCGAGCAGCAGCGAGCCGGAGGCGTCGCAGAGGGGGATGCGTAAGTTTCAGTCTAGCTGGGGTGGTCCTGGGCCCCTGGCTGTCCCCAAGATCCTGCTTTCAGGGCAGAGGAAGGGCCCAGCGAACGCCCTCTTGTACATGTGGCGGGGGGAGGTCTCGTCTGCACTGCCGTGCTTTGCATTTGCCAGCATGGCTGCCCAAGAGCGAGAGGGCCCTGCTCAATAGCGACCCCTGTGGGCAGGTTAAGGAGTGGCACTAGCTACAGTCGGAGGCTGTCATACACCCACTCCGGGCTGCTAGTTTAAGCAAGCAGCTGCCGCTCCCTGCACCACTCAGTGCCTCTGCTTTCTTGCCTTCCCTTTGGTCCCTAGGAGGTTGGTGCCTGGATTGAGACAACCATGAGGACTCTCCGACGGGGGCGGGGGAATAAAATACTGCGGGAAAGTGGAAGGAGAGACCACGGCCATTGGGGACCCACCCCCTTTCTCCGGGTCCAGAAACGACGGGTTTGCATCGTAACCTCGTCCTCGTCTGTGAGCATGTGTGTTTGGGGCGGGGGCTGCACCGCATCAAGTGCACGTTGCTGGCTCCCTGCAGCAGGGACCTGATGCCGGCTGTTGTGGGACTGCCTTCTCGGGGACTCTCTGGGATGTGGGGGGGCTGGGATGGGGAGTGGGTGTTTTCGTTGCATTTGGAGGGTGCTGATCCTAGAGATTCTGGAGCTAACTGCCAGCATCTGTTGAGTCAGACGCCAGGGTTCCGGCTGTGCGGTTCTGTGGCGCTCCCAAGGGATCACGGTCTGCGGAATACAGGTATTCCGGGGGTAGCTGTCCTGCAATCCCCTTCTATCCCCAGTTGACAGCTGCTGGGCTGTCCTGGTGTAGAACCAAAGTAACGGCACTGACTGCATTTGGGTTGCTCTATAGCCGCTGGTGTAATGAGAGCAGGATCAAGCCCCCTGGTCCCCACTTCCTTCTGAACAGCTGAGCCCCTCCTTCCCCTGACTGGTGGGAGGTCCCCACTCGCTCTCCTGCGGGCCATTCGGCTGGGTTGCGCTTGCTCTGTTGTGAGTCAAGGCTGACTTTGGTTTTGGTTTAAATCTCGGCGCAAGGCGCCTGCACCAAAGACTCGGCTCTACCGTCCCTCCCGCTGCAGGGGCGAGGGAGACACTGGCGCTCTGGTGACGTGACTGGAGGGGCTTTTTCTGCTGCAGGAACGGGGCCGGAGGACGGTTGCGACGCCCCCCTCCCCCCAGTGCCGCCCCCAGCTTTGACAACACTTGCTTTACTAAAATAAAAAGTTATGTTTAAAAAGAAGAGAGAATCCTCTTAGGCTGCAAACGTTGGAGCTGCGTTTTCGTTTCAATAAACGCAGACCGAGCTGGTCCCTTTTTGTTTTCGTGGCTGAATCTGCTTCGTGCAGAACTGCCCCAGCATCTAGCATTAGTAGAGAGTTCGGAAGGGGGCGGTTGCTGGCGCACTCTGCATGGGCTTACTGCTCTTCCCCTTGGCGATGACGGGAGCTGAGTTAGGCCAGCACCGGGGGCTTTTGCAGATCTCTGCCTCTTGCTGTCTCCGTTGCTGCGTAAAGGAGAAGTCTGGGCAAAGTGTGTTTAGCCCGCTGACCGCTGGAGAGTACCTAGCTGGCTCCGTCAAAGCTCCTGTCTGGGAATTGGCCAAAGCTTTATGAGGTGGCTTCGGAGGTCTGTCGCTGCACGTCGGCGGAGGCTGCCCTGTTGTGAAGATGGGCATTTTCTGCCAGCTGGTGGTTGCAGTCTTTCAGCTGGATGTGTTTTCACCCCAACCCCGTTTTTGGGAGTGGGCACGGGGAGATCAAATAAGGTTTGGGAGAGCTGTATGCCTCGGCCCTTGGTTTCTTTATTAAATAAAAGTTCTGTTGAGTTTTTTCTTGTGAGTCAGCCCAGTCCTTGGGGGGGCGTGGGGGGGCTTAGAGCTGGGCTGCAGGCTGCCAGGGGTCTGTTGCCCACCTTACCTCTCACTCTGAGACCATGTTAGTCCAATTCCTCCTTGTGCTTCTTGCACCATGTTGTAGAATGGGGCTGATGATGCATAATTAGTGGGTCAGGGACTTTGCCGTTCATGGGGGTCAAGCTCTGGGTTAGCCAGCGCCAAGTGCAAATTGAGGGCCCTGGAGGTGCCCAGCTCGGGGGGGGGGGGAGCTGGCTGGGGGGGAGGGGCCTGCTGACCCTAACCCTGCCATCACTGCCTCCCCCATATAGTCAGAGCGAGTCCACTCCCCTCCCACAGGCCTCGCTGGGCTCATCCCTCACCCCTGGAGCCAGGAAATGAGGTTTGTTCCAGTTTTCCCAAACAGCTCGGGGGCTCTGCCCCTCAGGGTCTAGCAGGGTCCCTGGAATTGTTTTAATGGAGCAGATGCAGGTTTTCTAAAGCGATCGCGTGACAGACTGAGAAATGGCGCCGAACAGAGGGCCTCGCTTCCCTCGGCCAGCTCTCTCCCTGAGCGGCAGGAGCCTTGGGTGGACGATGCTATAACCAGCCAGTAGCTGTCTGCCGGCAGCCTGTCCTGCAGAAGTCGCCCAGGCTAGGGCTTTAAACTGGGAGTGGCACAAGGGCATGGAGATTGGGCGGTGAGTTTTGGGTGCCTGAGGCACGGGGTAGTGGGGTCACATCCCATGCTGTGAAATCAGTTGGGGCCTCAGTCTAGGTCACGAGGCCAACCACTGATTGCACAGGGGGACTCTGTTCAGCTCTGGAGCTGATCCTGCCAAGTCAGGCTGGAGGCAGGTAGTGGGGCAGTTGATCAGGGTCTCAGGAACAGCTGGTGACTTCAAGTGAGAGTCAGAACCTGCAAGGTTGAGTCTCTTTCCTCCCTGCCCCCAGTGCATTCTGCAGTGAGTGTCAAAGCCCTTCCCCCAACCAGACACCACACCTGTGCTTTCACGCCCGTTTAATGATGCTCAGGGGGACACACTCCGTTACACACATCAACTCAAAGCCTCTGCCCGATCCTGCCAGTTCCAGGCCCAAGTTAAGTGGGAGCTAAGCCGTCCCCCACCCATCCCATCCTGTCTTTGCACAATGCCCGGCTTCGGGAACTCTCATTCCAGCTCCGGGCAGCAGTCTCGCGCCAGCGGGTAAACCATGAAGATGACGTCCTGCCAGGGCGGCAGCGAGGGATGATCTGGTCTGACAACCTCAAAGCCCAAGTAGCTGAATGCTCGCAACAGGGCTCCTGGGGGACAGAAGAGGAAGGGTCACCATTATTAAACCAGCGGGTCTGACCTCCACTTGGGATCCTTAACCCCAATGCTCGTGTTCCTCTAGAAATACTAGACACTGAGGTTACAGTGGGATGAGGGCAGAAAGGATGGGGCGTTACAGGAAGTAGTTCTAATGCATAAAGTCGGGCAGTCAACTTCCATTGAAAAACCCTTGCTGCGTGTTTGAAGTCAGAGCAGGGCCTTAGTCTTTTAATTGTAAAAGTCAAATAGCTTCTCTTACCTACAAATATTGTAGTAATGGCTCAAACTACTGCAGTCCCTATTATAACAGAGTACTGCAAAATAGTGTACCTTGTTTTAAAATGCGGGTTCCCACTGGACATGCACCGTCTGTTCTTACATACAGAAAAGTCAGGAGAAATATGGCTCCTTCGACGGCTGGTCTCTGTGCATTCCGCATTCAGGGTACATAATAGCCATTACTGGACAAGCTGTATGCTGGGCAGAGAGCAGCCTCTGCTCCCGTTAACAGAAGTCACTAAGCCATGGGGTCTCAAACTGGGGGTCAGGACTCCTCAGGGGATCACAAGGTGATTACATGAGGGATCACGAGCTGTCAACCTCCACCCCAAACCTCGCTTTGCCTCCAGCATTTATAATGGTGTTAAATATATAAAAAAGTGTTTTTAATTTATAAGGGGGGTTGCACTCAGAGGCCTGCTATGGGAAAGGGGTCACCCGTACAAAAGTTCGAGAACCACTGCACTAAGCTAGCAAGAAAAGAAAAGATTCCAGTGGAAACTCGGTCACTGTACATTAAGTATCAAAAACATGGCCCAAGCAACTTGCACTTCTCTGTACGTGGAAGGCGATCACTCTCCGGGTCTGGGTTTGCCAGCCCAGAGGGCCCCTTACCGCAATCGCTGCGAGCCGGCTGGAAGTTCACAAACACGAGGTTCACGGCGGTCTGTTCCTCCACGTATTCCAGCGTCGCAGTCAGGCTAGAAAGGAACACACCCCTGTGTTCGAACAAGCTGAGAAATAACCCCGGGGGGGAGTTTCAAAGGAGTGAGGTGCTCCTCTCCCTTTAAAATCCAGGGGGAGGTGGGGAGGCTGTGAAAATTCTAGCCCCTCGCTATGGATTCGATTGATACGGGATGGGTTGGTCTAGTTCTGTAGGACTGTGATTTGGTGGCACTTGGGAATTAAAACACAACCACAAGCAGCAGCTGTATAAAACCCAGTTTGGTCAGCTGGAAAGAGACAAACATCAGGGGAGTTTCAAGCTTCTACGACATTTCCAAGACTGAAGAGGACCAAGAAGTTGGATTCATTTAAGGGGGGCTCATTTAGAAGCTAGCACAACTGTTATGGCTGAGAAGAGTTACACGGGCTTACTTCCCCTGGCTTAGGCAGCTTGAAGGCACAGCCCCAGTGAGCACACAATGGGGAGTGGAGGGTCAGCAGTAATTATCTATGACCTTTGACACTGCCCGGGGGGGGGGGGAGCTGCTGCCGTTTTCCTGCCAGCCACCTAATGTCACAAGGTGGGGGTGATTTACAGCTGCAGAAAGACGGTCAAGGGATAACTATAACGTGGTTCAGGAGACATAGGCCCTGGGATCCTGGATGTCTTAAACATCCCAGCGCTTAGAAAGAAGTGACCCCTAGATGGAATAAAGGACCAGCCAGCAGCATGCACCAGAGGGGCTAACCCTGCGCTGCCCTGAGGGCAGCACTGAATGCTTCCAGGCTCTTCGGTGGGTTTGCAGATGAAACTGGAGTTACCCTAGATTGCAAGTGTCTCGGGGAAGCAGGGTCCAAAGCAGGAGGGTTGGGGCTGCTTTTCCCCGTGGCCTCCAGACAAAGGAAGTGGGAAATCCCCTCTCTCATCCTGGGCCAGGCTCCTTACCTTTCGCGGTTGTTTTGATCCAGGGCGCCACGGGGCGTGTCCAGGAAAAGCTTGCCGTCGGTCAGGAGTCCGTGCCAGTGAGCGGAGCTGTGGGGACCGAGTTGGAAATGGAAGTCCAGCTGGACGGGGAGACCAGGGAGCAGAAGATCGCCAGCAAACACTGTCAGGTTCCCAGCCTGCAAGGAAGCAGCGAAGCCCCCGTTACCAGGCGCGCTGACTGGCTGAGAGCCAACACCTGTTAACGCTGGGGTCTGCCAAGGGGATCTAGCTCTACACCCAGATCCTACTGAATGGGAACTCCCAGCCCGAAGCCCTGCCCATGTGCTCCAGGCGCCAGGGAGCCTAGACTAGGATCTAACCAAGAAGCCCTGGGATTTACAGGCAGGAAGCCAGCATCACACAAGGCAACTTCCTCCCTACACCATTTCCCACCTGAAGAATCTGAAACCGTTTCTTGTTCACAGGGCAAACGTTAATGATTGCTGCCCCTCCAGTTCCCCTGGGCCCATCACCCTCCTCTCTAGGCACAAACGGGCCACCCCAATCCTTCTCTGAAGACGTCCACACAGTGTGCCGCGGCGGTCAAAAAAGCAAACAGGATGTTAGGAATCATTCAAAGAGGGATAGAGAATAAGACGGAAAATATCTTATTGCCCTTATATAAATCCATGGTACGCCCACATCTTGAATTCTGTGTACAGATGTAAGCTCCTCACCTCAAAAAAGATTTACTGGCATTTGAAAAGGTTCAGAGAAGGGCAACTAAAATGACTAGGCCAGTGGCACGGGCACGGCAAGAGGGTAAAGAGGCAAAAAATTTTTAACTTGGAAAAGAGGAGACTAAGGGGGGATAT